CATTATCCTTTGAGATACCCACAGGTTCATTTATCCAACTCCAACCTGAGCCAATTGCCTCAGTAGAATCAGCATCCACATTCAAAGCTTGGTGCGAAAGGCTGGGAATCATGGTCATGGAATTTATCTGCCAAGAAAGAAATCATATCCATAAGCAACAAACCCACATGACATGAGAGATGCAAGCGAATGAAACACTGTTTACTACAAACAAATACATATAAGAAACGAATTGAGTTTCAAGGAAGAAGAATGCACTAATAAGACAAACCTTTGCGGTATTAAGAACTACATTCTTGCAGTCTGGTAAAATGCTCACAGACCATGCAGGCAAGCAATATGAATTGCCACTAAAATTGACAGTTACATCTGATGTGCCCACATTAGCAAGAAAAGCAGCACATAATCCTGATCCAGTTTTATAGACGGTAGCCTGGAAGGAAATATAAATCCATTAGGACATAAAAAGACAATAGAAGCTCTAAGACTAGGATTTCAATGAATAAATTTTAGAACTCCTATCTTTCACTGATTAATCATTAATGACATTATTGTACTGGCTAAAAAGTCAAGTGAATTCTTTTGATACCTAAAATTAGCTAGGAAGCAAAATTTGCTTAAAAAAAAAGGGAAATTAGTGAATCACGATGGTTTCTACCTCCAAGTTTGGGCCCAGAGAAGTAAATGTCGGGTCAGTTGCTACTAATGCTTTTTCACAAAGTTTTATTGCCTTGTGGACATCTTTTAGGTGGCCCCACTTGGGTTGTCTAGGAATCCCTGCATTATATATCATGAACAGTTGAAAACTAGTGAATTTACAGATGAAAATTGGATTTTCAGTGCATTATGAGCCAAAAAATTATTGAGGAGCACATTTCATTGTTTCATAGAATACAACAGCAGCGCCATGGAAGTGCTGCAACAACCCTTGCTTCATTCTAGTGACTCAAAATATTAATCAGGAATGAAGTATATAATGGAAGTTTAAATAGTTAAACTGTCCAGGAGTGTATACTAGATAGATTAAGAGATATAAGTTTAAAGTGTCAAGAAAACTTACCATACTCATCAATTGGAGCATCATAATCATAACTAGTAGCAATGAAGGGTCCACCAGTGGTCCGGCCAAAATTTGTTCCACCATGATACTGTTTTATATGTAACCAAAAGAGATGTAGTTTAAAGAACTTAATTTTCTTGGCTTGAGACTACCTGTTTCTAGAGTAAAAGTAATTTTTGAAAGAACTTGTGTTTTCCAGAGAACTCCAAATATTATACCATATAATAGTTTTGGAAAGTTCCACCTCGTTGGTAAAACCGTGCAACAGCAAATGCAAGGTCTTCAACTGGTCTATAGGGAGTAGCACCGCCAAAGTAAAGAAACCTAGTATTTCAAGTTATAGGTAAAATAAATAATGAATGAGAAATATCCCAACAAAACAAGTGAACGCACAAAATAAATCAACTCTTATTGATGGAGACATTTAATCAAGCCAACCGTCAGCATATAGATAGAATGGACAAGTCAAAAACCATACCATCCACTCCAATTCTCAGTCCACATTTTAGGTTTGGTGTTAGAATTTGGGGTGAACTGGTCACAGTAGAATCCATTGCAGGTGTTAATCTGTCAGTAACCAGAGAAGACAAAAAAAAAAAAAAAAAGGATTGAGAAGATATAGAGGGAATGTTCTGATTAGAAAAAGAAACAAGATACAACTTGGATTACCTTAGAACACTATTAACATTAAACTACACAGCAGAAAGAATAGAATTCAAAGTCAATTAACTACCATGTGAAATGTTAATCAAATAAAAAACTCACAATGGGATCAGGGGCGTC